TGCTGCAGCTCGTGGATCCGGTCCACCTCGGGCGGTCAGGGCGTTTCTCGGATCTCGGTCGGCGTCGCCGACTGAGGTGAAAGAGAGAAGTCCCCCTTGAGGTATGTAGTACATAATATTATATATAGTCGAAGCATCGTTGAAATAGTTTTTTCTTTTCCCAGCAACCATATGGTTTCACGAAGGATTTTGTGATGATTTGGACAACAACATGAGGTCCACCATTATAGTATGGTCTTTGAAGGCTAGGAAGACCTCTGGTTGGACACGCAAGCCCTTGGCATTGGACAGACCATGACAAAAATATCTTGAAGAAACATGGAGAAACGATGAGAAACGGCTCTTGGTGCTCTACGGTGCTACCAGGTTCACACCCTCTCGCACTGTCCACAAAATGTACCTTTTTGCGCTCAGGACTCGCGTGGATGATAGCAATGAGACACGCGTGAGCATCACGGTGTGTCCACGAGAGACACGCAGTCACTGGGAGCTCGACTTTCAGGCTCACACAGTCGGTCACCAGTGGATGAAGAGAAAATCCTGCCCAGCACCACCGATGGGAACCACCAAAGCACCATGAACAACCGTGGTGTTGACCTATCTGTGTGCAGCAGGATTTCTTCCTCTACTGGATGTGGTCGGAAAACTGTGGTCATGCCAATTGCCCCGCAGGCGTGCGAAGTCTTAGTCGCTGCTGCGCAACGTCGCTGCTTCGAAGGGGAGAATGGACGGCCTTGGCATCGCCAAGATTTGCCTGGGAGATCAAATCCAGCGAATATATATATATATATATATTTGTTTTATTAATATATATATAACAAATATACCGTCTCGCGTTTGTTCGTTCCCTTCAGTCGCTGAATTAGGACCACCATGCTTTTAGTAGAACATTCTTTCATGTCTGCCAGATATGCTACTAGAGCTCCAAAGACATCCTCACCATGTGCTTAGACCGCCAAAACCCACCCCAACCGCCTTTTGAGGATGGAACGGTACGTGACACAAAGATACAAAAAACTGATCACGCGGTAACCAGACCGTTTTCTTCGGAAACTGGCATACTTTGGTAACTTGACGGTTTTCGTGGGAAACCGTTCTATGGAAACTAGATTGTAAATGTATTAATATGAAGCAATATCGTAGCCGTCACTGGGTACGTCAATGAGCCCACCGAAACCCCCCCCACCAACCCCGACCCCAAACGTCGCAGAGTATTTCATCAACTCCTGACCCAGCCGCACCCGGAAAGCACACCCTAGCCGTGCTCCGTTCATGTCATCTGAAGAACGCATTGCGGAGCTTCTTAAAAGAACGGGTTCTGAAGTTTCTGAAGAATGCAAAATGGTTTCTGAAGATGCAAAATAGATTCTGAAGATCTACACACCTGAGCTAGGTCAAGGGACCGTGCCATCAGGCTGGACCTGAGGATATGGACTAGTCTAGGACCAGGATAGTCCAAAAAGAATTGATTCAATATCATTTACCGAACAATGACAACCATTGTTTCACTAAGGATTTTACACTACAACACCAGGCTCAGGCCAACATGGTCAACCTTTATGTTAATGGTGAAGGCTATTGGCTATACAGTTGTTGGATGTATATAGGATTGTTATATAGTTATTGGATGTAAAGAAACCCACATGTCGCTATTCCCAGGATATTCCGTCAGTCGGCCACATTGGTGAAATTTGCCGCTTGAACATGCACGAGTCACATGCAATTCTGTGGCTTGCAGCGGATAGCAACACCAAATTAGGTGGCCGTGGAGCGTTACTGTATCCTGCAATGGCACATGAGGTCGACGATCGTGGGATGCCCGTTGTCGGGGGAACAGTTTGGAACAGGCAGACTACAACACCCTTCTCTTCCAACGCGAGCATATATATAATATATAGAGAGAGAGAGCATGGCAAGATGCGTAACTTTGCCTGAACAAAGCACCAACGAAATAACAGGCCATAACAGGCCTATGGGATACACTCCCTGGAACTAACATGGAAGTGGAACACAGGCCCTGGAAGACAATTTTCCTCCACAAGGGGGTCCTGGTCTGCTTCCATGATTGTTGGAGGGAGGGTAACCTGGACACAGAAAAGGTCCCTTAATGGGAGACACTCAAAGTACCTGCAAGCCCGAGGCTTGGCGGTCTTGGCTACAGTAGTTCCCAGGGAAGCATCTTCGACTTTCTTCCATTAATCACTCATGGCTGCAAAATACTGATCAGTTGTCCTTGGAAAGCCCTATTTGACATTATTCGACCACATGCATGAAAATCACCCACTTCCAAACAGGTACATCTGCAACAACTTGGCTCCCTCTCATGCTTTTCAGCAAATCACCCAGTCGTCGTCTTCCGAGTTTGGTGCCACAGGGTTCTTGTAAATGTTCGGCTCCGTCCGTCCCAGGCGTTTGGGCCGTCTTTTTCGCGGACGAAGATTCTTTTCGCGAACAAATGGACAAAGTGGGAGAAACCTAAAAAAGTTCGGTCTTGCACACTCTTCCCATGGTTTGGTGTCTATTTTTGTTGCTGTAAAGGGTTCATGTTGAACTGCCATGATTCTCATTTGGGTCCATGCAAAACCTCCACACACACTCCCTCTTCTCTGAAGCAAATTGTTGCATGCTTCCTTGGCCCGTCCAGTCAGCCGAGGAAAATCTCACTGGGCTCTGGGATTCTGGGATGTGGAGTAACTGCCAATGTCGCAAGCATTCCAAAAAGGCACCACAGGTCAACCCGAACACCACGATCGGCTGGGATGCCTTGGACTGGGGATAGTTCCCAAAAGGTGCCTCGGGCTGCCTCGGTCTTTGTTTCTATGTTGTGTTTGTTTCGGAGCGCCAGGGAGCCCACCTCCGAAAAGAAGGTCGGAACTGAACCGCCAGGCACCCCCAGTCACCCACCCCAACCATCTGAGGATGCGGTTGGAACCCTGCCACATTTGCAACTCTCTTGATTATGGAGGCCACTGGTGGCTTCCAAGGAAAGACCCACAAAGCAAAGGATCAATTCTTCTTTGGTGGTCATTGGAACTCCGGGAAAAGAGTCTCCAAGTCAACTCCAGAAATTCGACGTGTGGAAATTTGAGTGAGTTGTGGTCTTGTGTAGTCGGATGCATTCCTAAAACCAAAGTGACCTCCATTTGTGGACCACCAACCAAACAACATGTTGATGTCCTATCTTCCTATATATATATATATATGTGCGGCAGCATGTATGTGGTACTAAACACAAAGACATGCACTATCTAGTATGTGGGGGTCCTATCTCGTTTAAGTTTAGACTACTTACGCAGGAGGTCATGTAGTATCTCATTCAGACTACTTTAGTGTCATCAAGCAAAAGTATCTCGTTTATGTGGGGGCCCTATCTCGTTCGCAAGCGAATACTGATGGCGGACAAGCAAATAGAGCATGCCGTAGACTACTTTAGTAAAGCTTAACCAAAAGTCGTTGCTCATATCAAAACAAGGGGTCAAACCGGGTCTAAGTTTCTCAAATGATATCTAATGCACGTTTGGCGTGTTTGGCGTGGATGTGCGCTTTTTGTTTTTTTTCCTATGCAAGCGAGCAATCCCCGTTGGATCCAACATGATATGGTGTCCACAGTTGCCAATGCTGAAAACCTCAGCGAGTTCGCTCCCTTGCCCCTGTTGAGAAGAAGTTCTCGGCTTGCCGTATTCTTGAAAAATGCTTCACCCTGTTTTAAGGCCTGTTTCATCATTCAAAACGGACCTGTTTCTGAATGAAAGAAGATGCACCGACGGATTTTCCCATACCCTCGAGGGGGTGATGCGTGCCAAACACATCAATTGGCGGTCTTGGAGGGTCCAGTCGTACCTTCTTTCGGATCCTCTGGACTCCTGCAAGTTATAAGAACTCCATAGAATTCCAAAGAGAACCAAATCATCCCCCTGTACATTTACCAAGGCTGCCCTTAAGGTTTTTAATCAAGGGATGCACCACCATGTCATATGCCGTGTGGGATACCCAAAGACAATGACATGTCTTACAGTTGTGACCCATAGCCCACAGCCATCCGGTAAAAAGTGGCGCGGCGAAACGATGTTTTTCTCTCGTTCCTTTGTCTGGAAAGTAGTCTAGGGAGACCAAATCCCCCACACACAAAAACATATTAACACAAAAATAACACATACGAGTATCAAGATATATCAAGTCATAGGATGTCAAAAGGATTCAAAAGGACCATCAAACAAAGCAATCTCCAAAATCGTTCAGAAGCATCGGCAGTAGATCAACCCAACACCATTCAGAGTCCGTGGATCTCCGCCGCGCATTCCGGCGGATTCCGGCACGAAGGAAGCGGCCGCGAAGCAAGATATGAAAACAGCTGCGAGGGTCTGCGGGACGACAAAGAAGAAACTAAAAAATCCTTGTGGCTGGCATGTCTTTTGCCCAAAGAAAGTACTTTCTGGTGACATCCGCTTTCAATCTGCCAATTGTATTTCAGGGCCTCAAAAGACTGACTCCACATGGTGTAGAAGATTGCGTCCAACGAGAATGGATTTGAAACAATTACAATACATCTACATACTACATGGACAGGCTTCATGGGTTGACATGCTGCCCTTGGAACCTGGGTCAACTAGGCTTCGCATCAGCTCCGGTTGATTGGGCTCCAACGACCATTGCTTCTGTCTGTTCCCCGATGGCTTTGGAGGCTTCCGAATCTGAGGATCAGTTGATGCTCCAAGACATGTCACTAACCGCTCGAAAACAGGTCACCTGTGGTCTGTTCACAGAACAGCGCGCCCGGAATCATTTTCCTTCATAATGATAGACACGTCATTTATATACAAGGCCTCCCTGGTATACAGGTGTCTATTGATAGGCCCCTTGGAGGTGATCCGGGGTGTGCATTGCCCCAAAATGTGGGTCCGGAGTCCTGGTGTACTGATACATAAGTACTTACTGGCGGCTCCGCGATGTGTTCATACCCAACGCAGCCAGCTCAACATTCCCCCGGGACGCATTCTGAAATAGATATCTTTCTGCACAATTCAACTCGTCGAAAATGGCCCAGTCGTGTGAACAAAAGTGTTCGTTCGCAGCTGTTCCCGAATCTGCCAAACTTGTGGCACTAACTCTACCCTTGGGAAGGCCTATGCCTTTCCCAACGTAGATTGAAACAAATTCGCTTCGGGTTGCAAAACGTGTGACAGGTGGTGCCACTAACCCCTTTTGGTTCCCTGCGCAGCAAACAAATAACAAGACGTTGGACCTATCGCAACCAAATGTTCATGCTGGGTCGGGACCTTTACCCAAAACCCGATTTGTGGGGTAGCAAGCTCCAAAGGAGGAGTCCAAGAACAGAGTCAGGCACAACTCAACCCAATCCTCATGCCAGCTACCAACACAGGGTGATGCAGCTCGGCCTGAAGCTTGGAGCCTCGGCACATTCGCGAAGCTTTCGCAAACTTTCACTGGTGATTTACCTGGGCCTGGGCGAACATGTGCGCATCTGCAGAACTCGTCAGGGCTGCAGGTCGTTGCCTCACTGTGAGGGCTGTGCAATTTGCAAGTCTGTGACGGTCTGTGACAGTGAGGACAGGAATCGGAGAATCCTTTACGCGCTGCGAGGGTGGGCAATGAAGCGTTGAGGCTTCAGTTCGCTAGTCTGTGGCTGGGGACATGCGGGGACACTTCCGCCCACCGGCCGTGCGGGAGGGTTACCTTGTAATTCTACCACTTGTCAGTCGGTAGAAAGGAACACATATGAAAGCCAAGACTTCTGATTTTTTGTTGCGAAAAAAACATGCTTCTGTGAACCTGATGGTCCCAACAACATCTGAAAGGCTGTGTTATATAAAACTCCTTAATCACACGGGGTTTTAGATCAACTCCCATATAGAGGAGATCAGTGGAACATTCGATAAGCCGGTTGGGAAAGAAGACTGAAAGCACCACCAACTTGATGTGAAACATTCAACACTTGGAAGTCACCTACTAAACCCACTGCCCTAGTTTTCCATATCTCCCATGTTATCTGTCCATCAATGTCCATAGTCCAAGAACAAATGGTGAATCCCCAAACATGACCGGTGGAACTTGCGTATGTTTACTGACCAGTTGTGATTAAAAGGAATATCAGATTATCGTAAACACATACGTTTGGGCTAAGTTCCCACTTCATCACGACCATCGTAGTCGTGCTGCCTCCCACAATGAAAGCGCCATTGCTGCCAGCTTGGACTCCTCCCACTCGTGAGTGGCTATACAGTTACCCATTACCACTACCAAACTACCACTCATTCCAAACAAAAGATCCTATAGGCCCGTCAGCTGGCTTCTTGCTATTGGACCCACAGTTCACTAATACATACTACTAAGCTATTTCTGAGGCAGCCATTTTTTCCCTCATGTTAAGTTCTTACTCTCGGGTTGATGGTTGATACATGTTCACAGCTTCATGAATCTTCCAAATTCCGTCCAGAACTCGAGAGAGCGGCTCTACCAACCACCTGACAGGTTTTTCTGAGGTAGTGGATAGCGTCATTGGTGTTCAACACATATGTAACCTTATAGGGTGTAATATTATATGTATATACTTTTTTAAAATATATTATGTCTAATTTTGTTTTTGTACTTAAACATATGCATTTTTTAACACATGCCGTGTTGGACAACCAGCTATTTCCGTCTTTGATCGGCCCAGATTGGACCAGGCTCACCCAACCACTCCTGCCAGCTCTCACCGGTCAAAACCCCGAACAGGAAAACCCACGCCTCACACACCGAGGCTTCGGTGTTTTCCAGGTTTGCGCATGGGATCCAAAGAGGTCTCTCTACGCTGAACGCCGCTACACTAAGCCGCTGGTGCCTCTCGTGGGAGGCCCCCTCTACCTGTTGGGTGGATGGCATGCCGGGCCTCGGCATGAAAGCGAACGCATTAGATGCAGTAGATGCAGTAACAGCTGGGTTCCATCCAGTGCATGTGATAGACACTGGGAGTCTAGGGCTTGCACCTTTCGCTCAAGTTGGGTGTACATTGTTTACCTTATTAGGTTCCTTCTTTGAGATCGACGCAAACTAGCGTCAACATCATTGTCCGAACCTGTGCAATACAAGACCTGCAACAGATAATTTTATGAACTACCAGTAGCGCTGGACAACCTCCACTCCGAGCTCGATCACTTCAGCGGCCTTTGCAGCTTCACACCCCAAGTCTTGAGAAGATCTGCATGTGGCAAGGACTCACCAAGTCCAGGAGTCTGCCACCTGCTTAATTTTACACTATAGACGGTCTGCGGCTGAGGGTCAAAAGAGCCCCAGTCCACTGTCAGAGGCAGAAAATCATTTGGTCGGCCACATCAAGCTGGTCTTTTCGTAGATCTTCATAGGCTGCCAAGATCTCCGAGGGCAGGCAGCTTGACAACCTGCAGGTGGTCGAAAGGCCCTCCATCGTCAGACGTACCGGGACCGAGTTGGGCCGAGTTCGGAAGCTCCGCAGCGCTGTTCAGTGAAACACTCGGAACGGGGGGGTTCTTGTGGTCAAAGGCGGTGCCATGTTGCGGGATCCACCCCAGGAACCACCAGTCTTAGGTCTTAGATAGGCCATATATATATATATATATCCACCTAGGTCTTCATCCGAGCGTATATATGTGTCGATTTGCTTTTTCGTAGCACTAATCACACTTTCGAGCATAAACATACCACTCGAGCACAAATGATTGAAAACGTACAGAAACCAAAAAAGGTACACTTTTTATGATGCCATTTGGCTCTTGGGAGTTGGATGTCCCTGCTGCTGTCTGCGCACTGCGGACAGGTGCCCCTTGTGACCCTTTCACGGTCCACCCCTGGTGAGTGAAGTGCACACAGGTACTTCATGGCAATCACCTGGGCCGAGGGAAGTTGAGGCCGGTGTTGTCGTCGGCTTTCTCGGACTTGTGCTGGTTGGCATGGAGCTACTTCTACATAATTCCCAAGCTATTCGGCTCAGATCATTTCCATCAGGGTGTCAGCTTTGGCCATGTCTATCCACCCGGAAGCTGTGCAGAAGCTCCTAGAAGCTTGGCACAGCATCGAGTCTCTATGCCATCTTGCAGCTACTGGGTGTATGGCTAAAGTCAAAAGCAAGAAGGCGATTGATCGTAAGGAAGTTTGTCAGAATGTGGAGGTTGTGAAAACGATCATTGAACATCTTGGAGCCTAGATTGCATACATGAACAACCGGGTATTTGGGGGGAGGGACCGGGGAGGGAGTTGGAAGGCTGTAGCCCTTGGACTTGCTCAATGTTTTTTCCTTGGAACCGCGGTCCGTGGCCACCAAGGAATGCGACCTTCTTTGTCACTTTTGCAGGAGGCGGTGGAGGCCTTCTTGGTAGCATGCCGTCCACGGGGGAAGAAACTCCCTGAACGCTTGGGGCTCAATTGATGTCCATTTTTAGCCTAGCCTAAGCCGTCTGACTTGCATGTTCTTGCATGATGCCCTTTACATGTTGTGGGGGTGCAGGGCCAATAGGTACCCATCGCTGGCAAGTAAGCTCTAAGGCAACCAATGCCATTGCGAAGCATGGATCCTTCGCACCCTGGTCTATGCGGCTTCTCGTGCCATTAAAAGAGGACATCGGCCAAAGGAGTGGGAACTTCGTGCCATCATGGAGGTTGCTGGGATTCCCGTGCCTGAAAGAAGTACTTTGTTTTCATTATCGCTTGGACAGGGCCGGGCATGACATATGCATTGCATTAATGCTATTTCTGAAGAAATTGGTTGACCCTACCAGTGACTCCCAGCTCTGAGGTGGCTCGTCTTCATCTGTGGGTGTGGATCACGACACCGCTTCTACGTCTACACCTGTACCAGCACCTGGTGATGAGGGTGATGACGCATGGGATGAAGGGTGTGGGGAAGAAGGTGAGGAAGAAGATGAAGGTGAACCCGACCCAGTGGTCAACCCAAAGGAACCCAACATGTTGTTGCTCTTCGCTTTCCACAATTCTAGATTTGTTGTTGTAGATCTGGGACGATCTTTAGGGTGCACTTGCCCTTCAGGACCTATCCGTTGAGAAGGTCAGTCACGACCAGACCAAGGGTACCAACGAAGCATCTCCACTGAACAACGCTGCCAACAATGATATGGGGGCTGAAACAAAAGGCCAGGTTTGTTGAATCCATTTGCACATGCTCCAACACCATACACACTTCCCCTCCCGGATCTGTCAGGCCAAAGACACCTCGCTTCGAGCACGGCATGGATGGATGGCCCTGGCACGAGCGGTTTCGTGGTTGCAATCTGTATGTCGAGACATGCATGCATATATATGCGCGTAGCTACCAAGAGAGGTGGAGAGGCCACAAAAAAAAAAACAACGTAGATGGCAAAAGTAAGAAAGCTTATTGTGGTCTCTGGATCTCTTTTGGCTAGTGCATGTAGGCATGGGAGGCGACTCTAATTCAACCATGTGTCACATCTCCAGCCTTTTAAGACTAAGACCTCCATTACAAGTGCATTGGCCATTGTCGTGCAAGGTCAAGCCACCACGAGTATAACGCACGAGGAGATTATGGATTTGCCTGTGGAGCTGAATGAACACCACATCGTCAAGGACAAAACCTTTGGCTTCTCTTGCCTCAAATGTCAGCTGATGGGGCCTTTGGAGAATCTTCGTGCATCCGACTGTGCATACCCTACTTTGGCCAGATTGCATGGAAAGCCATGTGCAAGTGCGGCGGCCAAGCACGATGCCGTATCCAAGGCGGTGGTTGATAGCCAAGCTAGTGCCGCAGCCGGCGCCGATTTGGCTTCGACTGAAAAGACTCTGCAAACTCTTCAAGATGAGGAGCTTGCCTTGGAATTGCTCGAGGAAGAGCTGGCGCTGGCCCAGGCTATGGAGATGATGCATGCAGTGACTCTGGAGGAGCAGGCCCAGTTGCTTGCAGATCACAGTCCGACTTTGGCTGGAAGCCTGGAATTGAAGCGCAAGGTGGAAATGCCGCCGCCCCCAGTGCCGTCGAAGCGCAGGAACAAGCGTCAGGATGTGAAGATGGAGGACAACCCCTTTGAGCAGCCCCCGGATCATGACCAGCTGCGTTTGGAAGATCTTGGCTGCTTCAAGAAGTCCGAGACCACTGCTGCGAGCGCCAACCCCACACTACCAAATTGCATCCTGGCAGCTATAGGTTTTGACATGTTTTGACAAAACCAAAACACTCTCCAAATGGATGTTATGTTATTGAAATGCCATCATTCTCGACCTGTCATGACTGCCATCCCGGCTCAGGCACTGATGCAACCGACACGTTGCCTTTGGAGTCTGTGGGTACATCGGTGGAGGCTTTGGTGGTTTCAGCAGCTAGTGCAGCAGCCTCCGAGGACGAGAAGAAGGCCCAAGCTGCGGCAGAAGAGCACGCTGCGGCCCTAGAGAGGCACAAATTGTTGCATGCTCGGACTTTATCTCTTGGATCCATTTGGGCCAAAGATGGCGAGCTTTCAGCTGATGAGGGAACATCGCCAGCCGACTCGGCACCAGTTGGAGAGCCAGCGCCTACTTCAACACCACCTGAGAAGCCCACGGTTGAGGCCAGTAATGAAAGATAGGATATCGATATGTACGGTTGTACGCGCATACCTATGAGACACATAGCGCAACAAGGGTTCCAGTGAGCTGCTCTTTTTAATTTTTGGTCAGGTGCTTGCAACGCCTGCGCACCATCCTCGAGTGTCAACACCTCCGGATGCATTGAGGGATGTCAAGCCGATCGCACCAGAGGAGCAGCGTGAAGGGCGAGGGCGTGGGCGGGGTCGCGGACGGGGCAAAGGCCGTGGGAGGAAGTCCATGAGTACAGCCAGCACATCACTCCCAGAGGGGGAGAATCTGGAGGAGGATTTGGAGGAGGAAGAGGAGGAGCAGGAGGAGGAGAAGCCAAAGGGCAGAAAAAGGTCTGCAAAGGTTGATCCTAAGTCGGAGCCAGTTCCAAAACGAAAGCGACCCGCTTCCAAACCCAAAGCGGCCGCAAAGCAAAAAGCAAAGAACACGCGTAAAGCCAAGGAAACACCTGCCAAGCCATCATCGTCGTCCACACTGACTCCAAACGAGCGAAAGAAACGCAATTCACGCAAAAGCTCTGCGTATCACGTTGCAAAGGTTGCAGCGATCAAAGATGGCAAAAGCATGGAAGAAGCCAAGGCCCTTGCAAAACAGGCATCTAGACGGCATGCGTGTGCGTTTTATATTCTTGCATATGATATAGTACTGCACGGGCGTGCATGCGCACATGCTGTAGTTGCAAACGCTAAGGCATATGCTTCGACAAACTGAATGGAATGATTGATTGGGGTGGCCGTGACGAGCACGGTCAGGGGTTTTCAGAGGTAGAAGTGAAGTCTTCTACTTGTGGGGCTTTTCTGATCGACACAATGTGTCGAGCACTCGCTGTGAATATCTGTGAATATCGATAGGTCACTCCTACGCGATGGATGTCGGTGGGAAAATGGATCGAGATGCAAGTCTTGGGCTCTAATGATATCAGCCCTGGTGTCCTTTGAATCGGAAGAATTGAGTTAGCCTGGGCCAAATCATTCATTTCAATTCTGATGGCTGTCTGTCCCGCGGCAGGTCCCATGTCGGCCTCATCTTGGAAAAGGAAGGTCTTCACATCGGGTCGGCCTTGGCACGGTTGAGGGCTTGCTGGGACATGCGTTTTGTCATTTTGTTTACTGGGCGGAAGGTTTGTGCCGCCACAGCTTTTTGGGGTCAAGATCCTAGCATTCTGTTCATATACCTCGTGAGCTCCTATGCCGACTACCCCATGGAATGCAGTTTCGTGCCTACAGCACGCACAAGCTCCGAAGGTGGGGGCCTTGATCAAGTAGCATATAAGTAGCCAACCCATGCAAACATCCCTCAATCACTTTTTGCCCAAGGCCTTCATTGCATTGGTTTGGAACTTAAACATGCAGTTGTTAACAATGCTAGCTAGCATACTCCGCGGAATGCATGTATGAAGCCGCCGAGGTGCTTTTGGTTGGGTGGCTTGAACTTCCAGAAATGGAAGGCTTGAATGAAACCAACTTTGATTTCTTCGAGCTGTTCAGTGGAAAAAAAGCTGTATCTATCGTAATGCCTCTTAGCAAGACTATTACGTTCTATATCACATGAAGCCCTCTCATATAGACATGCATGGTTGGCCCCATGATACACATATCCGAGGACCGAGTCGGGATATCGCACAGCCAGCTTTGATTGGGACTACGACAAGGTTTCCATGGATTTTCTGGGGCCAGCGGGCTATGTGTGGCTAGGTTTCACATGACAACCTTCTGCCCCATCATGTCCCCTCATCTCCGCACATCGAGCGGCTGAGTCGACCGGCTGAGGCTTGCAGTTTGGATCCTGCTTCGGATGGGTGCCAACGCTTTGTTTTTGAGCG